ATTTATAAACATTAAAAAATATATAAAAATAGTAATGGTTTTGAAAGTTTATTTTGGTAAATAAATAAATTAATAGCATAAATTAAAAAAAAGAAATTATTATTTAAATATATGTATATAAATTTAGGCTCCATTAAAATTTTTATACTTAAATATTTTTCAAAATTAAAAATTAGAATTTAAAAATTTCCAAATAATATAAAGAAAATAAAATAAAATAAAATTATATATATAAAAAAATAAAATAATAAATATTTATATATATTAATTAATATAATAATTATATAAATATATATATATATTTATTAATTTAACTATATATTTAAATTAAAATATACAATTTTAAATGAAATAATATATATATATATTATTATTTATATATATTTTTGTACTAAAAAAAAAAAAGTAGTAAAATATATAAATATAAATTTTTTTATTTTTATTTTTTTTTTGTAAAATGAAAGAATTTATAAATGCGAACAAAATAATAAATTCAACTCAAATTTTTTTAAATGAAAAAATCCAAATTCATGAATTTGATGAAGACAATTAAAAAAAAAAAACCTTACAAAAGCACTTAATTTTATTGAAATTTCAAATAAATATGGAATTTTATTAATTGCCTATAAATATAAAATTAAATCTTATTTTGCTAAAAATTTCTCTTAATCATATACTTATACATTAGAATAAAATTCTGAAATTCTCTCTTTAATTATAAAAGATAATATAGTCCTCATTTCATTAGAAAATACTTAAGTTTTAGTTATAAACTTAGCATAGTTTATCAAAAATAAACCTACTTTATAAATAAAAAAAGTAATAAATCCTCCTAAAGGTAAATAATTCCCTTTTATATACTCGAGTCCAATAGAAAATGACTAAAAATTTTTAATACACGATCCCGAATAGAAAATATCATTTATAATAAGCTAAAACTGGCAACTTATAGAAATAAAAGAAAAAACTGACTCGATATAATTTAATATAGATGGCGAGATAATCATATGCAATAACGAAAAGCAAGAAATAATATTCCTAAGTAGAGAAAATAAGTAAATATTGACAAAAAAATACGAGAATTTCGAATGGGAAGGCTATTCGAAAATTTAGAATTTAATTGAATTCGAGAAAAATTTTTGGGTGGCTTTTTTAGTTTATTTTGGTGAAAACGAAGAAGATTCATTGGTTTAATTTTTGCCTTTTAAAGGAAATTTAAAAGAGGAGTTTTAAAGTGGAAAAGTGTTTGAAGTTTAAGAAATTTCGAAATATTAAAAAGCAGGAGATTTTTTATAGTTTAAAGTCTTTTAAGATAGCAAAAATAGTATTAATATTATTTCTAATGTAGAAGGAAAAGTTTAAAATTTTATTTTTAATACAAATTCAATAGAAATTATTGATAATTAATGCAATGCTGGAAAAAATGCTTGTAATAGTCCTTTTGTTTATAGAGGAGTAGGATTGTTAGAAGCTTAAATTGAAGATGATGTATAGTTTATTAGTATGCAGGTGGGAGAATAAGTACATTTTTAATAAATTACGAAAAGTTTTATAACTTTTAATGCTAAAAATGAAGTCTAAAGGTATTTTATAAGTTAAGGATTTTAAAAAGAATAAGGAATTTTCGAAAAAAATAAAGAGTTGATGAAAATTAATCAATTATAAGAAGTAAAAGAAGAAAAGGAAGATAAGTAATAATAATAATAATAATAATAATAATAATAATAATAATAATAATAATAAATAATTATAATTATAGTAAATTTATGCTTAATAATAAATTTAAGATAAAAAATTATAATAATTATAAATATAATAATTAGAATAAACATAGTAATAATAATAAGTTTAAGTATTAAAATAATAAGAAAGTAAAGAAGAATATGATTAAAAATTGAAAGAAGATCTGTAAAAAAAATCAGAACAAGAAAATTAAAAAAAAGAAGAAAATTCATAATAATTATAAAAAAAAAAAAGGCCTTTCATCCACAAACCAAATAAATTCGCATATTTTGATTAAACAAACTAAGACTAAATAAAATTTCAAAAACCAATAAATTTTACTTTATAATATCCTCCATTTAAGACTACCTAAAAGTCCCTTTACCAAATCGATTATAATAAAAAGCACTCTGTAATATTTTTCGGAATAAACGATTCCTTATATTAATCTACATACTAAGATTTATTTATAGATACAAACAAATAAAAAACGCCTTTATAAACTTTTAAAGATTAAGATATAAATTATATCCTGACAAAAGAAGACTTTTTAATAATATTTACATCTTAATAAAACCTCCTTATATATAAAATAAACTAGTATAATTCCCCTATATATGAAATAAAATTGAATTCTGAAATTAAGTATATGTTTTTGGATAAAAATAGTCAATTTTTATTACTTAATTTATAAAACGAGACAACTGAAATAATAAATATTTTATAAAAAAAAAAATTACAAAAAATCTCAGATTCACATTTTGCATGCTTTTCGTTAAATAACCTAATAATTTCAGCTTCTAGAGACCAAAAATTTGTCTTATTTAAATAAAATAAAGACTCTATATTTGAAAAAAATAAAGAAATACAATTCGAAGAAATCGAAATAGAAGACGTAATCACTAAAATAATCTTTTTATATGAATATTTGCCTAATTGTTGGTATTTCGCAGCTTTAGATGAAGATTAGGAAGGTTTTTTCTATTAAACGCCTCTAAAAGGATCTTTTGAAGATTAAACTGTGAAATATTAAGAAGATTATATATATGATGATGAAAATTCTTGGAATTTAGAAGGTTTAAAAAACCGAAAAGACGTCTAAATGAGGGTTTGGTTTGATGAAGGCAATAAATCCGTTTTTTCAATGATTAATTTGTCTAATAAAATGGAATAATATAAACTAAATTTGGATAATATTTACATTTTAGATAATAGGGAGTTTTAATTATTTGAATAAAATGAAGATTTTAATAAAGGGTTTATATATATAGAGGAAAAAATAGATATTTAATTCGAATTTTAAGAAAAAATATATAAATAAATACCTTCTAGTGTAGTTTTTTTAAGCTAAAAAGGAGAATTCGAGTAGGTTTTTGCTTTTTATTTTAATATTAAGTAAGTAAACATTAATATATATGAAAAAATTGCTTAAAAAAAACCTGTTTAAGCCACTCCTATTTAAAACGAAGAAAATTTTAGATTTATAAAACCGTCTTTTTTTAAGGATTTGTTGGTTTCGTAAATCAGCTTAGAAAAAGGGTCGATTTTTAATCCCAGTGAGAAAATATAGAACAATAAATCAGTACATTTTGTGGAGTTTTTGCCAGAATTTGAATGCTTTTTAATCTGTTTATAGGAATAAAATAGTCTTATTATAATCAATATTTAATCACTAGATGATTATTTGAATGAAAAATTAAAAATAGAACAATTATATTAGTCTAAAATTAAATAGAGTAAAGAAAAAGCAGCTGTTAGAGCCTAAATGAGGGAAGAAATAGTCAAAAAAAGACTGGAATTTTTGATTGAAATTGGTTTTGGGGAAAGAAAAGGGAAGATTTTGTAAATTCAGGCTTTTTAAGGAAAAATTGTGGGTATTTTTTCATTTGAAATTGTTTTTTGGGATATTAAAAAGACTATATAGAGCAAAAAATTGGAGGTTTTGAAAAAAATTTAGTTCGAAAATCAAGAAATATAGGAAGTGATTTTTTCGAAAAATAAATTGTTTTTTTTGGTTAAATTTTTGAGTTTAGAAATTCAAGTTTTTTCGGTGAAAAATTAAGTCGCTTTTTATAATGAAAAAGAAGTTTTTTCAAACGGAAATTTCTCTTTAGACTCAAAAAAAGCATTTTTATTTAAAAATCCATTTGAATTATATATAATAGATTTAGAAAGTAAAAAATAAAATAGAGTAGAAGTGTTAAATGACGAAAGTTTCAAAAAAGTAGTTTTTTTTGAAGAATTTTTGACTTAATAGTATCTTTTTATATTCGAAAATGATAAAAGATACTATGTAGGCACTTCTAACGATGTACAGGGACCGTTTATGATACAAGAAATTAATGATTGGATAAAAATGGATACTAATAATAGTGAATAAATATAGATAAAATTAATTTTGGAAGAAAAATTAGAATAGGTGTTTGTTGTTTGTAATTAATTTAATTTTATTTTGCATTTTTTAAAGCCGAGAGATTCTAGAGTCTTTGAATTTTCGAAAATCAATACTTCGATTTAAAATGGAGGTTTTTCAAACGAATTTTCAATTGGAGGAATTTGCTTGGTTTTCAATTAATTCCTAAAGGAAGAAAAAAGGACTCTTTTACATAAAAAAGTGCCTATTTTTAATACTGATTTAGTCCAAGAAAGGGTATTTATTTCACCTTTTCCAGTTTCTTTATTTGTTTTTAATTAAAAAATGGACTTTTAAAGATTTCTATTAATAGATTGTTTAAATTGTGAAGAATATGAATAAGAAAGTGAACAAATTTATAGTTAAATGTGCTATTTACATAATAATAAAGAGTTTTAGGAGTGTTTAGAAGGAAAAATAGAGCCCGAAAAGTTAAAAATATCTTATTTTTATGAAATTAAGAAGTAGGAAGTTGAAAATTAAACAGTATTCGATTAGTTTTTAATAGGAAATTAATAAGTAGAGAATAATTTATTTTTTTAAAATTATAATAACAATAATTAATAATAATAATAGAATATTATTTTATAAGGTAATTTATTTTGTAATAATAATAGTGTTAATATGTAATCTCTTTTTTCTAAAGATTATATGGATAAAAATAAAATACTATAACCATAAGAAAAGAATTAGTAATATATTTTAAAATAAGAAGAATCATAAAAAAAGGAAAAAGAATAAACTATAAAAAGTTAAAATCTTCTTACTTAATTAATAAACAAAGGAGGTGATGGTTTTTTCTCTAATATATAATAAAATTAAACATAATAATAATCTATAAATGAAAAAAAATAATTTCTATTATTTCCTTCTAGTTATTTTGAAAAGCAAAATGATTAATAACAACCTTTATTCAAATAATTATAAAAATAATAAGAATAAGTAATTTAATCTTAAAATAATACATATCTTCCTTTATAAAAACCTCAAGAAAATAAAGATAACTAGTAACAATAGGAATAAACTGAAGGATTATTTGAAAAAAAACCATAAACCTAATAATAATAGAATTCAAATACAGGCGGCCTTTTTACTTCTTTAATAAAACCTTAAGAAAATAAAGATATTTAATAACAATAAGAATAAAATAAAACTGGTGGTGGTTTATTCGCAAATTATTAACCTTAAAATAATATACTTAATACTTTACTAAAGACTTAAAATAATAAAGATAATTTATAATAATAAGAAAATAAACCCAGCAGTTTATTCGATAAAAAACCAGAAACATCTTTAAATATAGGACATCTCTGTACATAATAAAAACCTTTAGAGAACAAAGATAATTTATTTGGATTTTAATAATAATAAACTAAAAATAATTCTAGTTTATTTGGATTCTAATAATAGCCGGAATCAAAACCACCAATTTTCACAAATACATCAACTCAAAACTCTACTAGTTTATTCGGAAATATACTCTAGTAACCTATAAATTAATAAGGTTCTATATTCTAAAAACCTGAATTAAAGACAGAACCCTATTAAGGTTTATTTAAACCAATTAATTAAAATTAAGAAAATAATCTATTAACTAATATTGTAAAGAATCAGAATGATTTGTCATCTTTAAGTTTTTTTAAAAACGAGGTAAAAAATGAAACAAATATATAAAAAATAGAGCAATTAGTATCAAATAATAAAGAGTCTATATTCTCCAATATGCTAAAAAATAAGAAAAACAATGATATAATAATACAAGAAAAGCCTCTTTTTATAGAATAGAATGAAATAAAAAGCTTAATAAAAGAAAATTAGGAAAAGATCTAAGTATTAAAGAAACAAAAAGAAGAAAAGGAAAAAGAAGAAATACTAAAAAAAGAAAAAGAAGAGAATTAAAAAGAAAAAGAAAAGCAAGAAAAAATCCTATATGAAAAACAAAAATAAATACTTTAAAAAATTCATTAAAAAGTACAAAAAACATTCCAATAAATTTCTTCCAAAAATGTAGAAGAAATTTAAATTTTAAATAAATAAAAAACTTTACAAAGCCTCTTTAATATAATGATAGAAGATAAAATGCAAACTAAAATTTAATAAATGAACACTTTTTACCCTAAAATAGCTCTTTTTATTAATTAAAAAATCACTATGGTATATAATAACGATAAAGAGTCAGTTTATTAAGAAAATTTGAGACTAAAAATGGACTTTTTATCATAATTAATTTCCTATTTTCAAAATATAAGTTATAATTTTACAACTTTAAATTTAAATATGTAGACATTCCTAGAATTCAAGAAAAAAGAGCTACATAATTTATTAGAAAAACCAAAAAACAACAATAATAATAATATATAAAAAAAGAAAATTACTCTAAGTTTAAATTTCGAAGAAGAACAAGAACAAGAGAGTTAAAAAAAAGCACTTTCTTACATAGTTTCTCATAACTCCTCTATTATAAAATAAATAAATTCTTAAACTAACTAAAAAACTAATAATAAAAATAATAAAAAAGGTATTATTAATTTAGATTTAGATTAATAACTGATTATACCTAATAATAGCAATATTATATAGTAAAATAAATAATTAAATGAATATGTTTCCTATAAATAAAGAATAAGTGTATTCGAATGGCTTAAATATTAAAAAATTGAATAAAAATAAACCATTGTATTAAATTAAAAATCATAATCAAATGCAGTTTAGTTTGAAAAACTTTCAAAAGAAAGAAATATTTTATAGTTATTACCTTGTTATTAATAAAAATAATAAATATAAGAATAAAAGAAAATGTCCGAATAATAAGAAAAATAAATAATAATTGATAAATAATAAATAAGTACTCCAGTCTTTAAAATAAAAAAAGAAGATAAAAATTTAAATATTATTTAAAAAAATTCCATTGATAATTTCTCAAATGAAGAAAATATAGAAACGCCTTTAAATATATAAAATAATAATCATAAAAAATAGCATTTTAATATTCAAATTAAATAATAAGATAATTCAAATGTATCATCTCTATTTGGAAATATGGAAATAAATACCTTTTTTAATTAAAAAGATTAAAATATTACTAAAAAAGAGGAAAACATATCAACTTTTTCTAATCTTTTTGTAGAAAAATAATAAGAATAAAATTAAAAAATACAAGAAAAACCTGAACTTGGTCTTTTTTAGAAAGAAAATTAAAATATAGAGGGTCTTTTTGCAAATAAAAATATAAAAATAGATGAAACTAATCAAAATAGTACAAAACTATTCTAATAAGATGATAAAATAGGTCTTTTTGGTTTAACAAAAAAAGCAGAAAAAAATGAATAAAAAAAAGAAGAAAAATCATTTACTGAAAAATTAGAAAAAACTTAAACTTCATCTTTATTTTAAAATACTCTAAAACATGAATATATTAAAAAAGAAGAAAATAAACAAGTTTAAGGTTTATTATTTGGAAATTAATAATAATAAAAAAATGAAGAAAACAAACAAGTTTAAGGTCTATTATTTGGAAACTAATAATAATAATAAAAAAATGAAGAAAATAATCAAGTTTAAGGTCTATTATTTGGAAACTAATAATAATAATAAAAAAATGAAGAAAGCAAACCATTATTTAATTTTAATTTCGGATAAAAAAAAGACGAAAAAAAAGACGAGAAAAAGAAGAAAAAAAAGACGAAAAAAAAGAAGAAAAAAAAGTAGAAAAAAAAGAAGAAAAAAAAAAAGAAAATGAAGAAAAAGATGATAAAAATAAACAACTAATTAATATAGGGTAAAAAAAAGAAGAAAACAAGCAAGTTTAAGACTCGTTATTCGCTCCTTAATAAAATTAAAAAAAATAAAAATAAAAAGAAGAAAATATTTAACCTTAAAATTAATTATTTGGAAATTTATAATAATACAAAAATCAAGAAAACATACAATTATTTAATTTTGTTAATATATAACAATAATAAGATTTGAATAAAGAAAAACAGAACAAGAAATAAATAGTGTGTAAAATGAAAAATAATAAGCATTTTTAAAAACAGAAAGTATATTCCAATAGTAAGATTAAAAAAATTAATCATAACAATAGTAATCTCTTTAGATGTAAAACTAATAAAAGTAAATAACAGAAAATAATAATTAATAATAATTGTTAAAGCCTTTATTATAAACGTAATAATAATAATAATAATAATAATAATAATAATAATAATAATAATAATAATAATAAATATAAAATAATTAAATATAATAAAAAAATGAAATTTAATAATAAGTACCTAATAAAAATTTATAATAATAATAATAATTATAAGGATTTTAATAACTTGGGTTTTAAAATTAATAAGGATAATAAAAATTAAGTAATATAACATTTAATATATAATCTAACAAAATTAACGATAATAATAATTTAAATAATAACTTAAATAATAATTTAAATAATAATTTAATTAATAATAATATTAATAATAATAATAGTAATAATAATAATTTTATTAATAATAATAATAATATGTTTGGTTTAGTATCAAATAATACTAATAATTTGTTTAATTTTTAAAATTAAAATAAAGGTATATAAAATATAAATAATTAAAACTTATAAGCATTTTAAATATAACCTGTTGCATTTAATTAATAATAAAATGTTGCTAATAATTTATAATAATAAACTTATTTAAATTAACAAGCTTAATACGGAAACAGTGGATTTGGATAACATGGTTTCGGATAACATAATTTCGGATAACATGGATTCGGAACTACAAATAAAAGTATAGGAAATGCTTAATTACCATTTAAAAGTGATGTTAGTTCAGTTAATTTTGGATTCGGTAGTTAAAATAATAATAATAATCCTTTAGAATAAATAGTAAAAAAAGCTGGAAATGGATTCTTTTAAGCAAATTAATAATAAGTTTTCAATAATAATTAGGCTCCTATATCTTAAGATTCATAAAATCCTATGTTTAAACCGAGAAAATGAAAAATTAATATTTTTTTTATATTAACAAAAAATTAATATTTAAATGAAAACAAATTAGTTAAATTTTTTATTAAATCATTATATATATAAAAGACAAAATTAATTAAATTTTAATTTAATTTTTTATAATAAAACTTAAAAAATAATTATTATTATAATAAGTATAAAAATTTAATAATATTAATATAAATATTAAATCAAATTTCAATTTATATTTATTAATATAATTCTTTATATATATTTTTTTATTAATTATACTTATTATTAATAGTATATTTAAAATATTAAATTTGTTATTTTTTTGTTTAATTATATTAATTTAATATTAGATTCTTTTATTATCTTGATTATTATAAATCTAATATTATAGATAAGTTTTGTAAAATTTGTAATTTAATTATAATATATAAAATATATGATCCAAAAATTATTATATAAAATTAAATATATTTGAATATAATCAAGAAACATTATGTGAATTCTTATTTAAAAAAAATAAAAAATATTTATATATTAAAAATAATTTATTTATTAAATATATATATATATATATATAAATATATATATAATTATTTATTATATAAATAATATAATTTAAGAAAATTTATAAAATTGAATATAAAATTAAAAATTTTTTTATTATTTTATTAATATTTTTTTTTTAAAAAATAAAATAAAAAAATATTGATGTTAATAATTAAATATATTAAATATTTTAAATATAAATTTATAAAAATACTTAATATCAATATATATATTTTTATTTTATGTATCTTTAAAATCATATACAGTTAATTCTTATTTAAATATAATTATAATATATAATATATAATATATTAAAATTATATTATTAAATAAAATATATATTAATAATACTACATTTTTTTTAAGATTAAATTAATTTAATTTTTTATTTAATAATATATATAAAATATAAATATAAAAAAAAATATATATAAATTTAAAAAAAAAATATTTTTAAATACTAAGCAAATTAAATATTTAAAAAATAAATCTAATTAAAAAAAAAAAAAATATAATAAATATTTAAAATATATATATATATATATATATATATATATATTATATATATTTAAATATATTTTAATATTTATAATGAAAAATTTATAAATATTATTAAATATATATTTATAATATAAATAAAAATATTAAAAGAAAAAATTAATTAAAATAAATATACAAAATTTCCATTGAAATGGATAAAAGTAAATAAATTCTTTAAACTTAATAAT